GCATGGGATACATACATACTACATTTGAGGCTAGCCTCCACTACACAGTGAGTTGTCTCAAAACAATGAAAGATTTTTTCCTGCAGTTTGCAAACCCCTTGCTTAAATGAAGGAGAGAGAGCAGCAGCAGCAGCATTAAAATCGAATGACAGTGCTCGACTTTAGGAAAATAAACTAAACCCAAAGTAATACTCAGGCTTAATGCTATCCCTACTGCAAGAAAGTAAAGCTTTACCCATATATAACAGATTGATTTGATGATACATGAAATTAAACAGCTCAAGAGGAGTATGTTTTAAAGCTAAAGTGCAATGACATCACTCATATTTATTAAAGTTTTACAGAAAGTTAAAATCTAAAAAAAAAAAAAAAAAAAACTGGCCAGTCCACCAAGCTTTCCTCCTCCAGTACCCCAGTACTAGGACTGAACTCAGGGTGATCACACTGACTTACATCCCCAGACCTCTTAAAATTTCTTTTGAGACAAGGTCTCAGCACTAAGCCATGCAAGGTGGGCTGCAATTTGCAATCCTCATGTCTTAGCCTCCCAGAATGCTGGGATTACAGGTGTGTGCTGTCATCACCACCCATTTATCATTTTTATTAACAAATCCAATTTCAAAGAAGGTGAAAAAAAGATCTTCCCCTATTTTTTCTTTGTTCTGAGACAGGGTCTTGCTATGTAGTCCAGGCCTGTCTTGAACTCACTATGGAGTTCAGGCTGGCCTCCATAAAGGTGAGCCTCTGATTATAGGTGCTCCCCACCATGCTCGGCTCCATATTAATTCTACTCTTTTTATGCTTTAATAACATATAACTCTGAGTTCTGATGAATTTGTTTTCCTTTTTGGTTTTGCTTTTGTTTTTTGTGTTGTTGTTTTTGGTACCAGGGATCGAACTTGGAACCTTGTGCTTACAAGGCAAGCAGCAGAACCACCCTCCCTGGTTGTTTTCCCTTTCTTGTATCATCCAAACATTCATTAAGAAGGGCCGGGGATTTAGCTCAGTGGTTCCACTGCCTGCCTCGCAAGCACAAGGACCCAAGTTCAATCCCCGGTACCAAAAAAAAACCAAACAAACATTCATTAAGAGGAGGACCCTTAGGACTTTTGTAGGGATGGAGGGAGCAGTACTGGAGTTTGAACCCAGGGCCTATGCACTAAGCTATATGCCCAGACCTTTTAATTTTTTATTTTGAGACAGGGGCTTGCTCGCTCAACCAATAAATTGTCCAAGATGGAAAGCTTGCAATCCCCCTGCCTCAGCCTTCCTCAGTGCTGGGAATTACAAGCACCTGCTACCACTCTTAAGTCTTTTAAAAATATTCCAGTCATTCAAGAATCTTCAAGCCTTGCAAAGGAGACAAGCAGCGAAAGCACAACAAAGCACATTACAAAGCTTAATTTTCATTCTCTTTAATCTTTTTATAAAAGGTTTTCAGATCAAAATCCTAATTTTAGCTGAAGCTAAACAGCAAGACAAGGTCTCACTGTTAGGCTGTCCTTGACATAAGTATGTAGCCCACGCTGACCTCAAACTCAGTGATCCTACTGCCTCAACCTCCCAAGGGCTGGGATCACAGGTGTGCGCGCCACCATACCTGGCAACAATTACCTTTTGAAGATGACACACAAAACACACAAGTGCCCAATTTATCCCCAGCTCCAAAGGGCATTTCCACTTAAGGTATTTGTTAACTTGATATGTGTCCCAAACCGCTTAGAATACCTAGCCAAAACAACAAACACCCTAGCTATAACTAGTCCTTGAAACACAACCAAGGAGTTTCACCTCATTTGCCTGAAATAGAATTTGGCCAATTATCTTTTCTTTTCTTAATTCTTTAAATCTAGTTCTTCAAAATGGAAGAGACATTAAAATGGAAAAGTAAGCCAGGGGTTTAGCTCAGTGGCACCGTGCCTGCCTTGCAAGCACAAGGTCCTGAGTTCGATCCCTGGTACCGGAAACATTTTTTTAAAAATGGAAAAGTAAGCTTTGTTAACAGCTTTTAACTAATTCTATTAATGGCTCTGAGACACAAGAGCACTGTGCTCTTCACAAAAGTCAATAAAAATACATACAGCATAGTGTGGAATAGAACTTGCCTCATATTTCTAGTTGTATGATTTTCTGGGTCTCAGCACTTACATTTCTAAATTGCAAGATTATCATGAGCTGTAAATTAGAAAATGTATCAAAAAGGGCCAGGGATTTAGCTCAATGGTTCTGCCGCCTGCTTCGCAAGTGCAAGGTCCTGAGTTTGATCCCCAGCACCCCCCAATGTATCAAAGATATTGGAGGTGACAGGTTCTAAAATGCTGTAAAGGAGGCATTATTAATACTAAAGCTGTTTCTTCAGTTAGTTTCTTGGCCTACAGAATGTTTCTAATTCTAAATACTCTTTCTTACTTACAAGTATTCATATGCACCCCATTATATATTACAGCTAAAAGATAATATAGTTCAAGGGCCAACTTAATATATTAAAAGCAGTCTTCTCACTGAAGAGCTCCTACAGTTAGTAACCCAGAAGCAGTTTGTTAATCTCACAAACACTTCTGGTAGCCTTAAGATTTGAATACTGACCTGTCAATGTTCTTTTTTTTTTTTGAGACAGGGTCTGGCTATGCAGTTCAGGCCTTGAACTCAATATGTAGCCCAGGCTGGCCTCGAACTTGCAGCAATCCTCCTGCCTCAGTCTCCCAAGTGCTGGGATTACAGGTGTGCACCACCACACCCGGCTGATCTGTTTCAGTAAAAATAAACCTGAAGTGTGTAACTACTTGACACATAGTACTTGAAAATCCTTTTATGAGTCTAGATTGTTACCCTTAGACATCTTTAGATGCAAATACAAGAGCACAGAGGCTGTTATTACATAAAAATACATCTTATGGGTTACATAAAATGTTGGTTTATGGCCAGCAGAAAAAGGTCACTGTATTTTTAAAATCAAATGCATTCGTGAATATTAAATCGTATAAGAAACACATAAAAGTTCACCTCCAGAAATGCTTCTAGTGTTCTATTTCTTTTTCTTTTTGGGTACCAGGGATCAAATTCAGGACCTTATGCTTGCCGAGGCAGGCATGGTGCCACTGAGCTACATCCCTGGCTCCTTCTACTTCTCTAACCAATTACAAAGCAGACAAATATCTGAACCTAAAAAACAGGTGAGCCTGGAGGTATTAATTACTCAATCTGCTGATCTGATTTACACTGAAATACTTGCGTAGCACCCATTAAAAAATACAACAAGAAGTGAAAAAGGTACCTCCCCCTTTTATGAAATAAGTTGGTAATGCCTAAACAAATTTTTGTAAGTGAGAATCATATATTTTCTTAGGAAGGTAAGGTGACAATTATCTGGAACTTCCTTCACTAGATGCCAAATTAAAAGAACTAAAGCAATCCCCAAGTCCCACTAGAAGTCTACATCTCACAAACTAAACATTAACCAAAAAAATTTTTGTGTTACACTGAAATAAAGATGAATGGATAGAAAACAATTTCTTTCTATAGCTAAACATTTTCAAAGCAAGAAACACAACTTCCACCAAATATTCTTAGTAAATGATCTTAAAAATTTCACTGGGGCAATCAGAACACAATCCTAAAAAATGAAATGAGCAGGTTCAATTAAATCCATGCTCCAAATTTATTTTAAAAATCCAATCTTAAAGGCAGCCATTTTGGGGGGTTTCTATCCCATTATTTTGACCGAAGGATATCAAGTGTTCGTATTACAAACTTCCAAAAAAGGACAAAGTGATTCCCTTCATCATACCTCAAGTGTTTTTTTTGTGTGTGTATTTCCCGAGTGTTACCCAAACAGCAGGAACCTGCTTTTGTTTTTTTCAGGGTTTCACACTAACTCACTACCATCAATTTCCACTATTCGGTTAACTTCAAAAATAAAGCCCCAAACACCCATAACGTCCTAAGATGTGTAGATCGAGGCTAACACATTCTTTTGGGTGTTTATATTTATCCGACCCCCAATAATAAAAAACTTTCTCCCGAGCCCTCTTTATTGAGGGGCGGGAAGATAAATGGTCAAAGCGCCTGTAATTTTTAAGTAAACTTTTAAGAGTAAAATAAACTGAGTAGGTATTTTTAAGACTGAGCCCTGAAATTGCTCGGTTATGTAAGATTAAAATTAAGACAGAAAATGCCTTAAAGAAATTTTTTTTTAACCGTAAAAACCTGTAAAGGTGTGGTCTGCTTTAGATGAAAGATCACAGAAAAGAAAGCAATGGATATATAAAGATGAAAAAAATCCCAACATCAAGGAATTAGAAAAATCAGGCGTTACACCATTTCCACATTCATTCTGAAGGGAAAGGAAAGGGAAAAGGACACAAGGGAAAAGGGCTCCTCGCATGGTTTTCCCTCACAGCTGCAGTCTTAAGGACGCTTAAGGGTCGGTGCGGTCGGTCACTAACCACTTCACTGGGCTCGTCCCACCTTCAACCTCAAGGCTTTCGCCCTTTACAGACGCAACGCCGCCGGTTCCAACAGAGACGCGGCCGCTCACTGCAACAGAGAGCCAAGGAGACACAGGCCCCAGCTAATCCCACGCCAGCTGCTCCCGCCCGGGCCACAGCCCTGCGCGCGGGGACCCCGAGACCCTCGGCG